TATTTGACCAAAACGGCATTATACTCAGATATAAGTGTGGTGTCCTCCCATGTACTTCACCACTAGAAAATTGCAATAGTAAATTCTGGAGGTACCTTAATATTCCCTTTACTTTTGATGTCAATTCAGAATGTTCCAGATACTGCCAAAAGTTAAGTCTTTATCCAACCAATCATAATAACTTATTGTACTAACCTTGATCATGGAAACCATAGCTTCCCCACATTGTACCAATAGGCCCAATAAACTCATGGCTTCCAGCCAATATACTCCTTTTGCCTGCAGGAATTTTTCCAATCTTTCAACATCCTTTTCACGGATTTCACATTCCATGAAATGGTAGCTCCAAAACTGGCAACAATATTGAAGGGCTTCTCCTATGCATTCTTTAACTCTCTCTTGAAACTTGGGTACATTTTTATCTGCTATAAATGAAGAAGGAAGGCTACAGATATTGAATCTCAGGTCATCCATTATATTGAAACATTCATTAGTCAATTTCAGATGTTGAGCCTTGGGTTGATACATTGCCCCATCAATGCCTTCCCTTCTTTCCAGAAACTGAGCAAAAGAGGCATGAAAGAAATAAATACAATGATCCTGAGTTGAAATATAGAAGACTGCCTGCAATTTCTCCATCAGATGTGTTACCACATCTGTTTCCATTTTCAGGAGCTTGGCAATAATATCACATGTCACTGGACATCCTGCAGTAATGATTGTATAGATGATGTTCCAATGTTCCTTGGCTTCTCCAGAGCTTCTCTTTTTTGGAATGCCATTTTTAATTACTTCAACATAAAGTTGATCTAAGTCCTCAGGATTTTTGCTCTTTTCCAGAAATCCTTTGAGCCTCTTCTTCTGCCATGATCTAATGTCTCCTTCTTTCACAAATTTAACCACAGTTGATGCATAAATAAAAAGTGCTCCAGAAAGATTTGTAAGCTTCTGTAGCTGCTCCTTGGAGGATGATATGCCATCCAGCTCATGGGTGACATAAGTCAATATATCAGTCTCTACTTGACTTTTTTCAACCTCATGAAGAATAATTCTTCCAATGTGAAGGTTTGACCCTGTCCTCAGTTGGCTCTCCGAGAGCATAAGCTGCTGAATTGCTTGTTCTGGCCGGCTAGTGAACAGAAATTTCAGTCCTGGAAATTCCTTTTCCTGGATTGCCAATATGAGAGGTTTAAGGACCAAATATACACCCTCACATTCATCCAAAGCATCTATAACTATAAGTGGAATATGTGCTACCATATTTCCAGACTTGGTGACAGCTCTCCAAGGCTCAATCAAGAGTGTTTTAACTTGATAATCTGGCTTCTTTGAAGCTGGATCAAGATCTTCACTCAAAACACTTGCAAGTGACATGGCGAATGTTTTAGAAAAGCTTGCCAGCTGGTATGCCAAGGTGGGGATAATTAGTCGGTAATCCCTGCATTCAGGAATCTGCCTAGAGCAGAAGAAAGTTCCAGCAAGAACTTTTTTTTCCTTAAGTTTATCACAGATTGACATTGCAATTGTGCTTTTGCCTGTGCCAGCCATCCCCCAAATCCAATAAGCTGATGGCACACTTTCAAGTTCAGAACTCATTGCCCATTTCTCAATGTCAGCAAGGATCTTTTTCCTTGTACCTGGGCAGCACAACCTCCTAGTAAGATTGAGACCCATGTCTGCATCGTGGTATGCCCGAGTTGAGTGTTCCATTTTTCCGAGAGCAAATTCCTGTTCTCATAGTATATGATTTAGTTAATCTGGCAGGTTTTGCTAATCTCACCTTTAGGATTTCAGCAGTGTTTCTCTCTGCAGAAAATAGAACCTCAATCTTCAAATTTGATGAGCTAAATCAGGTAGCTTCAGAGATAGAGATGTTACCTTGCATTGCTCATATGCATCTTGAACTTTGGTTTTGAATTCTTGAATCCTTCCGGTAATGTGTTCAGACTGAACTGTCCTTTTGAAGAGACCACTGCTTTGTTGCTGTTTGACCTCTTGGTCAATAGCATTCAAATGACTGTAAAGTGTTTTAACACATTATTTTATTTTAGTAACTGCTGTTGACCTACTCAATCAAGACTTGGACAGCCTGCTTAGATGAGCCCAGGTTTTCTTGAGACAGGTATGGCTCCAGAAATCTGGTCCGGACAGCGAAATCCTTAGCCAAACTTTGCAGTTCCTCAGTATTTCCTGATACACTCTGTAAAAATGATTGTGTCAACCATCAAAATAATATAAAAGATGACAGTCCGACCTTATAAATATTGAAACATTCACATATTCCACCTATGGCAGCTTGCAAAGGTGGAAGCGGTGCCGATACCTCTTTTAACACTTTTAGAGCAGTATCAAGAGTGTCCAGAACAGTAGCTCCGATATCTTGTGTGGGATAATTCCCAGCTGCAGAGTTTGCAATCGAAGTAGGATCAGGAGTTGTTGCCCGACTTGGCATAGGTGTAGCATTGCGACTTTTGTCTTTTTTGTCTTTGTTAGGCTTCAAGAATCTAACAAGACGACTTCCGAGATGATTGTTTCGATCCATAGCAAATTTTTGTGTGTGTGTTGCAGGGAGATAGATGATGGGGGTCGCAAACGATTCCGGAACAAACAGCATTCATCTTATCAAGTATGTCATTGCGGTCCGGAGTATAAAAAGCGTGTCACGAGCCTAATTGGTGTTCCACTTTGAAGCGATGGCTGCCGCCCGGTTCACACTTGGTTCACACCCGAAATCGATCCGTCTTTGTCACCAATCACTTCCTATCTCAGCGTTCACCACCGTCGTCGATGTCCGCAGGAAGAATCTGGTGATGTTGAAGAAGATGAAGACTCTCTTTGATTTCACAATGCAGCTTACTCTTCTGGCCATAATAAATACGGACGAGTTGCTAATCGTGTTACGCTTTCTAGGACAATCGAACACGACTCCGTGGATTTCTCCTCTCTCACCTCAAAGACTCCCAGTCAAACAACGAAAACGCTGGTTTCAACGTCCGAATCGAAGCCAGTTGCAGAGTCGAGTTGAATTTGAATGAGGTTGCGGTGTGTTTTATTCTTTGGTCTAGCGTCGCATTTCACGATTTTTCCTAATCACAGCGAGCTCCCGATATCGATCTCCATCTCATCCTCTCTGTTCAGTCATCTTACATCGAGTATCTTCTCGCGTATCAGGAGACGAGTCGGATTGCCTCTGGAGTTTGGATGGTCTAGTAAAAGCGAAAATCAGCTCGAGAAAATTTAATTTACTATAGCTCTAGAGTCTAGACTGTACCGAAGTAAGCATGAATTATCTTATCTTAACAGACTCGGAGGCAGCCTTTTTCCTCAACTCACCATCTCGCAAGTTCAAAAACCTTTGAGCTTCTGGCCACACCAAACTTGGATTGCCTGTCTCTCCTGAATCCTTGTCTATCTATCGTTGCCTTCAATACTACAGTATCGTAGAAATAATTTGATAGTCCCTTTCGAGTCTCGAAGACGTTTTCCATCGTCATCGCCGTAATACCGTCTAGGCTGCCTCCCTTCCGCGGCGTTGCCTAGTCATTTTCTATTACCCTCTCGCTGTCTCGCTCGTGTAATGTTACAGGTAGCGCCATCGTGTTTGGCATTCCACTCTCCGGTCGATGAAATCGAAACCTATTTGTGAATTCATGCACACAAACCGGAGATTATCGATTGCTCTGCTGACGTACATTGGGAATCAGTGGTAGCGCTCGGACTACGTATGGTGGCTTAGGAATGCCGAGCTCAGTGTGGGTTAGACTTGGCGAAGGACTTATGTCAGACAATCCAGGTGACTACCGAACACGGGCAAAAGCAAGAACTGTAGCGATGTACTTCTTTTCCATTTTCCCAGATCCTCGAGTCCCTCGTTGGGCCCGGCATTCTTCAAAATGTCATCAACCTACATCCGTTTCGAGTGTTTCCCAACGAAGGTACATCTCATCTCCGTCAATCCTTCCTCGCTTCGTCTCTGAGCTGACACCACGTTCGCAGCTTAGATTCCAGCCAAATTCCGAGGCAACATTACCATTGCCTCGATTCTCTAGTCTATATAGGCCTTTTTAAAAGAAGACCTGAGGTCGATTCAAGTCATAACGCGACCAAACTTGGACCTGCCTGTCTCCGGCTTGACATATAGCAGCTTTCCCAGAAACCCAACAGGCTGAAAGCCGGCGTCTCTACGCCAAGGGCTCAGTCTCTTTCTGTACCGTGCAGGGAGTGTTGATCTCCCATCTAATGCGTGTAATATACGATCTCGCTGTTCCTGTATTGTAGGAAGAAAAATTTGAGACTATTGACATGAGCAGATATAGGAAATCATACCTTCGTACTGATGTATTTGCGTCTTGTCGGTTTTACAAATCGCGAGCCTAAACCTCTGCTGCAAGCAGAGATTTCGTTCCGTTTTGTTTCGCGTCGCTTCAATGGTTTCGTGCACCCGGTACAGTGAATACAATGAATATCATTGCGCATCTGTCAATGGAGGGTATCTGAGGAATCGGGATAAGGATAAAGATTCGCAGAGTTATATCACTAATGTTCTTTGCTCTCGTAGAATTTCTTAGCTGGACCCTGGTGCACATCTCGTTTCCAGAAATTGTTTCCTTATCAGAGGATCTAGCTAAATTAAATCGTTAACTTGTTCGAACTTTCCTATAAGTTATAACTGTTCATTTCATCTCCCCTCCTACTGCTCATTCCACAACACATGTACAGTATTGGCATTGTCATTCATACCCGTTTCCCCTGTCCCCGCCCACTCCAATCCGCCACCTATACTGAATCATCCAAATTAAACCTTTGAGATGCACCCTACCAAAAATTGCGTCCCATACCATCTTTTCATGTGGAGGTCACTGAGCTTCGATGCGAAGCACTTTTAATCGACATTGGGTTTCAGGGACAAAATGTTGAGCAAAATAAACGAGGATGCCTCTATAAAAATCTTGAAATATGCCAGCAAAACAAGAAAATAAAGACTCAAGCAGCAAGATACATGGACAAGCCCAGATTCGAACCGGGGACAAGTTGCATATAAACATGCAAAGTGAACGCAATAACCTCTTGGCTACATGCCCTACTTATGATATTCTCTTCACTTTGGAAACTATTAAATGAAAGTTTATTCGGTACTACGACCACTAGCTCCAAGAGAAAGAGAGGGAGGGGGAAGAAAAAAGGAAGGGTTTGAGGAATCTGTATATTTTAAATAATGGGAAAGATGGCGATGACACTGGAAGATAGAATGAGCAGTCGGATTCCTGGATCTCCCTTGTCTTCTCCGTCTGCTACTCTCTAACCAGCAGCACCTCCGCTCCTCTCGAACCAGTATCCCGATTCACAGTACCCAAAGCACTGCTAGACCATTAGAGTAGCACGTCTCCTCCCATGCGAATCCGATGGAAAGAAAGAAACCATCTTGGTCTTGTGATAGGGATAGAATGACGCGTCGCCGGAGAAGCCAGACTACGTTGAGATTTAATCTGTATGCTGACTAGGGAGTATAGGAAGGAAAGGCCGAAGCGGAAAGTGGAATGCTTTTCAAGTATGGTCGGAATTGCGAGGGCGCTCTTGCATCCGTTACAGCGGTCGCGGTTTCCGTTGGTTTCATTCGAGAGACCAAGAATCGTGACGAACGATTCCACAAGTTGAACGTTCAGACTTGCTTTGGTGCCACTAGTACAGTAGACCGTTACTCTTCATTTATTTTCAAGTACTAGCAGTCATCCATCTTTTCCGAATCGATCAGCTGTTCGACAGTATTCAATATGTTGAAGCTTGACGGGATGCGATCCGTGGAGGTGAGAGTGAAAAGGAAGGTCTTTTGGTCGATATGTAGAGAAGGAGCATATCCTAGTATGATTGCAAGGGATTTTGGGGAAGAGATAGCCAGAAGGAAGTGAGATAGCGGTGAGGCGATAGAATTCACCAAGCTTGCTTGTCCCTCGCATGGTCGATCCTACGGAGTTTGCGAGAGGTTGAGTGTAAGAAGCCATCCTGCTCGAAGAAATAGAATCTCGAGACTGAGAGCGATGGCCCAGATAGGACTGCACCTTCTTGGTTGGTTGAGCAGGTTGAGACAGGTTAGGCGCTCTGATCAACTCTCATGCCCTCGACCAACAAAGCCGAAAAAAAACCTTCCAGTGGAAGGTTTTTTACTGCGGAAGCTGCGCGTAATGGCATTCGCCAGACTCGCGTCTTTCTGTGCCAGGCTCTGTTGCTATAAATGACAGCGATGGCTTGCTCAATCAGGTCAAAAATTTGCCTGGCTATACGACGCCTGTAGCCAAATTGAAAGAACAGCGAGCTCTTGTTCAGCAGCAAAGGTGATTAGTAGAACTGGATCTAATATCGATTAAGATTAACCATGGTTTGAAGGGCTTTATCCCGCAAGAACTGGTCGCCAACGAAGTCAACTGGTTTTACACCAATCTCGGCATTGACGACACTTATTTCCGCGACGAATCCCAAGCGGTCATCTGTGACCACATTATTGCGCTTTTTGGCGCCAAAGTGCTCGCGTATACGAAACACGATGCGAGCAAGCTCGTTATCGATCTCGAGAAGATTGACGAGAACGGAAATGGCGCGACTTTTATTCATACCAGTCCCCCTGGTATTACTACCACCGAGGGCCCTGGCGCTACGCGTTCTATACGGCATTTCCAACGTTCCTCAACTGGAATTTAGAATCGACACCTTGTTCCTAGACAGCTCAATGCCTACAGACTCGAAACTTTCCGTTCCGCCGGGTCCATCTCTGCGACTGCTTCTCAGCAGCTCAGATGCTACTTCGTCAGCAAGTGTGTCTTTCCAGACGCGCCTGCCACAAAAGACGCAGAGGGCAGGACAAACATCAACAGCGTGTCCGACAAGGGCTTCTTGGAAAAGGCCAGCGAGAACACGCTTGAGATTTACCAAAAGGTATGAAATAGCTTCGCTAGCTCGTTCAGCGACTCAGTTGTATTCTAGATCATTTGGAGCGTCGAGCAATGGTACGGTCCCGTCATGGAGGTCTCCGAAGTCGAAGGCTCGAGAGAGAGACGTCTTGTTATCGGATACAAGATGGGCGGGACTACCACCTTCTTTAGGTACGCGTTGCCCTCCATCCATCTTTATCTACTAACCTCTATACCAGTGCCCTCTCCAACCTCTACCACTTTTACTCTCTCTATTCTGCTCGCAAATACGTGGAACAGTTTTCTAACGGCGTCACCATTATCTCTTTGTACCTCAACCCCGTTCCAAACTCCAACGCCCCGCCGATCGAACACTCCATCTTCCAGGTCATGAAGGAGGCTTCGCTTCTGTTCTGTCTGCCTGAAAACCCGTTCTTCCTCCCAAAGGCCCCAGGTACGCATGCTGTCCAGGAAGCTACGTATGCTTGTGAGAATCTCCTCTCTCTTCTTTGCATATCGCTGTGCTGACAAGGTTGTCTCGTTAGACTGTGGCTGGATCTTTGCACAACACTTTTGTAACAGGCTCGGCCCGGCCTACTTGCAGCTCAAAAACGTCTTGGACGAGAACGACCCTGCGCATGCCGAGGTGTTGAACAATATCAAGAGGAGGTTTAGGGAGGAGACGTTTACGAGGGAGAGTATTGAGCAGGTTATTCATACTCTTTCGGAGCTGGTAGGTCTGCAAGCGTTCTGTTATCCTATGGCTATTTATTTTGTTTGCAGATTCGACTTCTTTATGTCAACTTTGCTATGGTTCATTACCCCGCATCTGACCACGCTACCGAATTGATGTATGTATACGCTCCTTTATTCAACATGTATTTCTAACCGGTACGCTATCCAGGCCCACCCTCTCTTATCAACGCCTTCAAACTATCCAACCCCTCTCCGACGAGGAGCTCTATGACAAAATCCGCCGCACAGTCCCCAACAAACACTCCCTCCAAGTTCTCGAATCCTTCCTGATCTTTAACAAACATATCCTTAAAACCAATTTCTACCAACCTACGAAAGTCGCCTTGTCCTTCCGCTTGGATCCAGGGTTTTTACCCGAGGTTGAGTATCCAAAGAAGCCATTTGCGATGTTTTTCGTTATTGGGAATGAGTTCAGAGGGTTCCATATTAGGTTTAGGGATTAGGATTGTGATGAGTAGGAATAAAGAGATGTATTTGATTAATCAGAGGATGTTGTACGTGTTTCTCTCTCTCTCTCTCTCTTTGGATGTACATACGCTGACGACGACGTGTTTTAGGTTTGACGAAAATTACAACTTGGCTTCGACCCAGTCGTTGAAGAATAAAGATATTCCCGAGGGAGGTGCCAAGGGTACGATATTGCCTTCGATTGGGGCTACGCCGAGGTTGTGTTTTGAGAAATATGTTGATGTATGTGTGCTCGCGGTTTTTAGTTATTTATATTCACTAACTACGTTATCATAGGCAATCGTCGACCTGCTAATCCCAGGTAAAACACCCGGAATCAAGGAGACGCTGGTCGACTTGTACGAAAAGCCAGAGTTGTTATTCTTTGGTCCTGATGGTTTGTCGATACGTTTTTTCCCTGCTTTCGCCTTTTGCTTATATCGGTTATGCAGAGGGTACCGCGGATATGATGGATTGGGCTGCACTCCACGCCCGCGACCGAGGCGCCGAAACATGGTGGAAGTCCTTCACCACTGGAAAGAGTGCCGAGACACTCGGTGGAGTTCCACACGACACGTATGGTATGACTTCGCTTAGTATCAGGCAGTATGTGTTGGGTATCTATAAGCAGCTGGGGTTGAAGGAGAAGGAGATTACAAAAGTGCAGACGGGAGGACCGGATGGGGATCTTGGATCGAGTGAGTATACGTTCTTCTTTGGCTTGTTACCCCCGAGCTAACGTTTATCTCTCTTGTAGACGAAATCCTACTCAGCTCCGACAAAACCGTCGCGATCATCGATGGAAGTGGTGTCCTTGCCGACCCCACTGGGCTCGATCGCGAAGAACTAATTCGTCTGGCCAAAAAGCGTTTGACTGTAGCGCACTTTGATAGGACGAGGTTGAGTAAGGATGGGTATTTGGTGAAGGTTGAGGAGCAGGATGTCAAGTTGCCTTGTACGTTGTTCAAGTGTTTTCCTTTTTATGAGCAAATGCTGATATGCTATGGGTAGCGGGCGAAATCGTTCTCGACGGGACTGATTTCCGTAATGGAGCTCATTTGAGATTTAAAGCTGACTTGTTCGTGCCTTGCGGTGGACGGTATATGATTATTCAATGTGTGTACAAGTCGTCTGTCTAACGCCTATATTCAGACCGGAAGCCGTCAACATCTCGAACATGGCTGCACTCTTCGACAGCGAGGGTAAACCTCACTTCAAGTACATCGTAGAAGGCGCCAACTTGTTCCTCACCCAACAAGCGCGTTTGTTCCTCGAAAAGCGTAAAGTGGTCGTGTTCAAAGATTCGAGTACCAACAAGGGTTAGTTGGTTTTATTTCTTCTCTCAAGTCGCGAAAACTTATTCATCGCATTAATCCAGGTGGTGTAACGAGTTCTTCCTTGGAAGTCCTAGCCGGTCTCGCTCTCTCAACGGAAGAATACGTCGACTTGATGATCTTCAAAGACGGCAAGCCTTCCGAATTCTACCAGAGCTACGTCAAGGATATCCAAGCAAAGATCACCGAAAACGCTGCTGCTGAATTCCACTGCCTGTGGAAAGAGCACACGCGTTTGCAAGGAGCCAAACCGCGCACAACCATCTCGGATGAGCTTTCGTCAACGTTAAATAACCTCCAGGCTGAACTGGAGAGCTCGGATTTGTTTGAGGATGTTCCGAGTAGGAATGGGGTGATGAGGAGGGCGATACCCAAGACGCTGGTTGAGAAGATTGGGTTGGAGACATTATTGAAGCGGTTGCCGGAGGCGTATCAGAGGGCGTTGTTCTCTAGTTGGGTTGCGTCGCATTTCGTGAGTGATTTTTTCGTGGAGGAAGGATTAGCGTTTACTGATGTTATATTTTTTTCTAGCTTTATAAATACGGCGTTAACGCTTCGAGTGTAGACTTTTTCCATTTTGCTAGGGATCTCTCCAAGTAAAGTAGGAGCGGGCGAGGCGCAGAACAGATTAGAAGCTGTATA